GTGGTGATTAATGTTCAAACCTTCTCCATGTGAGAAGAGGCCGTTGCTAAGCAGTGGGCGCCTGTAGGCTGATGATGTATTGTGATGAGTGATTCAATTTCCTAGTATAATCTTAAGAAACTAAAATTAAATTTAAGAGAAGGTAGGTATTATTAAAGCCCTCTAAAAGGAATTAGCTAGCAGGAAATCAACCGGTAAAGTTTTTGATCGAACCCGCTATTCGTGCTATGAAAAGTTAATAGTATTACCTATTACTTATCTAAAAGTACAACGTAATAACACTCATTTTTCGGTAGAGGGAAATGTTTCCATCAAAACTTAAATTATACCTAACGTCTACCTATGTTTCTCTTATCAAAACAAATCATAACCTAACCTAACCTGCACCACAATATGCTACCTACTTAAATGTTTTTCTTTTTGTTTACAAAATTCAAAGTTCCCCAGTTCAATGTTACTGCAACCAGCTCTCCCGCGATCTAATGATTACGGGAGATCATTAATATTCCAATTTATATCCATGTTCATGTTTTTTCTGCACTCTCTTTGATATCAGCCATTCATTCATTTGTACTTAATCCTTAATATGGAAATCACAAAATTTACAATTTACGTAAACCGAAATTAGTTGGATTAAAATATTATAACCGGCAGACTCGTAGACTCGCAGGTATAAAGAGTAACTGTTTCAAGCTAATATCCGCAAAAACAAGTATTTAAAGCCGCATTTTAGTAAAAACAACAAAAATTATAAACACGAACGTGTCACTAAGTAATGAAAAATCGGTAATTTACGGTAATTAAGCTTTTAGTGCTTCACTATTGCGAGTAAAACCTGTCGGTGGCGCGCGGCGGGAGAGGAATCGATTCCCGGCGCGGAGCCGGGGTGCGACGTTGCCGCTCTGCCGCGCGTGTTTTGTTTGGGTTGTATGCAGCGGCAACAGGCCCCGCATGCCCCCAGTCCCGTCGCCCGCCAAACGTCATCGGTATAAAAAGTTTGAAAGCCAAGTTACTGCAAGGCGACCGCAACTATTGCAAGTTTTTTTGTTTCATTTGCCGAACAAAAACTATTCAGACTGTGAAACTGTTTGGGGGAACTTTGGCTGGAGGTATTTTAGTGCCTGGATTTCGTGAGTGGCGTAAGTACCTACCTAGTGTTCGCTGGAAGCGGAGCTCGGATGGCGCTCGAAGTTGCACGGTGCATGCGTCGAGTCATGACCATGACCTATTTATTTAGCCCTGTCGCAGCCCGACATTGATTTGCTTACCTGTCTGTGTGTTATGACGTAGTGCTTGTAGCTAGGTATCTAGTTGTCCCTATTAAAGGGTTTCCATCCAGGTAACAATTCTAATGTTTATTTCAGGTGCAGTTTTATTTTGGGTGTACCTATACATATGTGGTATGTATGTAGTGCTACTTGCCTTTTATGCATTTGTTTGCATTTTATTTAAAAGTTGAGTCGAAGTCCTAAGAATCAAAATGAGGTTGAAAGTCTACTAAAAATGATCTACTTATGGCTTGGAGCTTTTAAGTAAATGTTGGCTATTTTTTTTATTTAAAAGCTCTCTTACTTTTTACATTTCAAAATTTAAGTCATAGGTCTGTAAGTGCTATCGCAAATCGCATATATTCAGAAGGGATGTTGTTATTTTTTAAATAAAACCACAGATAAAGGTAACAAAATATACTTGTCGCATTTTTTTATTTTATTTAGGTACAAACTTTATGTTAGCTCACTATTGTTTAGCTCCATTTCAATACGTAGTAACTTAATGTTATAAACTTGGTTCCTTAAATCTAATTCTCAGATCTAATTTAACCTTTGAACAAGTTCCAATAATTTGGAACAATTATTTTTTTATATTTATTTGTGTGTATCACATAGGCATAAGTAGTTACTTAGGTACTATTTTTATATAAAAAAGTACCTATTTACATATCAGTATTAAAACATTTGTTTTAGTCGACAATCAGAATCGTAATCATTGAAAAGAAACGAGATATTAATTAATACCTATGTCGCCACAGTAGCTAGGTAGCCGATTAATTATACAGCGTTTGATTCTCGCATAGAGCAACTTTGTTGGATATACAAAATAAAACCTTATTGCAATACCTACTAACAATTATGTAGAATAATTATTAAAGAAACATGACAGATTTATAGCCAGCTTGCGGCTCCACTTTTCATTCAATATCCCATTTCTTTTAATAATGTTAGAAAAAATGGAGTCTTGTTTTCAGATGTCTGATTAAAGGTCCGTCTCACACTGTCTGGATCGACACTATGTGCCAGATAACTTTAAATTAAGACGTAATAACTTAGCATGGACTACCTGTCCAACGTTTAAATGGTAGCTCATAATGAAGGTTGAGAAACAGATCCTAGATGTGTCTCAGTGCTTGTTTCACCTCATTTCATCAATTAATCATACTACATTCTACATTTTCATATTACAATCATACTACATTTTTATATTGAAAGAATTTAAAATAAAGAGAGAGACATCTGAGACACTTTTTTATTTTATTTTTCTTGACTTTGTGAAAAGTGCCTAGTTTGGTCTAATTAAAATAAATGATTTCGACTTTTGAAAGAGTCCTCAACATAAGATTTTTCGAAACGAAGAATCGATGAAAAGGAAGGCGGTGCTGTGAAAAGTCAACTCCAAAAAAATTCGCGGGCGGTCTCCGTATTCCCTCCATTATGAGGTTCGGCAGAGTGAGAATATCATGCTGAATGGAGACAGATTGTAAGAAACAATACTAGAACAGTAATAAATAACAGATCATCCCCCGACTACGACAGCTGAAGTGTAACCAGAAAATGTTCATACAAATTATGTTTTATATTAAGATTCTGATACTTAGTGGTGATTCATAGGAAATGTATATTAGTATATTGTGTGTCAGTTAAGTTAAAAGTAACATTATCAGTCATATAGGAATCAATAACAATAGGAGGTTTTTAACATCCAAGTTTATTAAAAAACATACAAGTTTAAATCCCTGTAATTAACATGCACATAATGCAAATTAAATATGTAATTCTTTTACATTCTACTTTGGTAACGATCGAAAGATAATGAAATTTATTCGGAGAGCAGTTATTTTTTTGGCTTTAATACCCTTAACATTAGTTCGAACACCAGGAGAACATAACTAGCCAAAAGGTACAAAAGACCATAATCTTGCTTTGAAGTAATTAAATACAAAAAAAACCTGTGCATCCAAACTATATTCTATTACCCAAGTAATATGGGCCCTTTTTACAAATCATTTACATATTATATAGCTTTTTTTATACGAGTTGACAATATGATATACTTAATGTTAAAAGGCATGCAGAGGGACGGAAGCGTAAAATTAGGATCCAAGATCTATTCAGACATGTTACTGTATTGGTACCTACTAGTTCACTCTTTGACCTATGACAGTGCAAACGCTGTGAGGGGAAAATCATCAAATAAAGAAATCATTTCACTCGCCTAAGGTGATGCGAGAGGGAGTGTCAGACTCTTACTGACTAAAAACGCCCCATTCCTTCTCCTGCTCTAGGCCGAGGCCGCGTTGACTCATTGCGCTTACCCCGCAACCCCTGGATTACGGTTAGTGCTAGTCCTATTAACACGTTGAGATGACTCGAGAAATAAGAAAAAAAAAAGACGCCCTTTTAAATAAAGAATTCGGTTAGGCGTTTGTTTCATAACTCGGTTCGTTTTGACGTCGTACACCGAACTTTACACTAAAAACTAAAATAATTGAATACAAGAAAACAACGGCACAGTTATTTTAATAAACGATAACCCAATTTTAATTATTTGAAATTGCACAGCTTGAACCATGATTAAGGAGCCGTGGCGTGGATTGAACTAAACCCAATGGCCCAAAAACAAAACAAACTTTTCCAAGACACTTACCAACGTAAGGTAACCGATACTACCAATACTTAGTAAGAGTTCAGTTAAAAGTTTAAACAGAAGTTTCCAAGCAGAAGTAAGCAGACTATTATAGTTATAATAGAAATAGTCGTTTTACATAAAATCATCGAAAACAAGAAAACCGAGAACATTAAATGTATTTCTTAATCTTATGTATTTAGTCATAGAGAAATTTGTTTGTGCAATAGTTTTAAACTATCAATGAACAATTTCAATCTCTCAGCCTAATGACCAAAGGGCCAATAAAGACTTACTCGTTTCGTTGGTTCATGGTCAACGAGTCCTTGACTCAAATGCATTTCGAAGTACTTTTATATTTGCGGAGAATAACTATCAAATGACTTCTGCCGCCCTGGTTGTCAAAGGAAGTATCACGAATAAAACCCACCTTATTTCTTCACCTACTCAAACCCGGTGCCGCGGTACATCGAAACAATGAATTTATTTTTTCATCAATTCGTTTTCATCCGCAACGCTAACTGGGCGCACCTAGATACTTCGGCAAAGACCGAAGTCTGTAGTTTGACCTTAGTTGTTTACAATAAATCTATAAAACTTACACTAAATCTATTGCTGCAAGTAGCCTTCTTCATAAGTATAAATTGTTTTATAACTTTCGTAGGACTTTAATTTTTATGTTTGACGACTCACGTCCCTACTTAGTGTTTGGTGAGATAACTGAACTGCGTTCACGCCATGCTAGGAACTCATATTCATGAGCAGTAATGCGCGACACGTGATACGCGGCGAATATCGCGCAGTCAACATTTCTATTATATTTATATTGACAAAAAAGTATTCCGTAATGCAGTTGAGTCGAAGTTGTGAATCTAATTTATTTTTTTATCTTTGCAGGCCCTTGCTGGCTCTTTATGTTTGTCAGAAAAAACTATCGTCCTACATTTATAGGTACACATTAGATTAAAGACATTTTAACTAATACACATATAAAAGTCAGTCTTCATAACGGAGTTTATAGAGCTAATACTATTTTGTTTAACTCTAACATAACACAGTTTTAAGTGTTGCTTAATCATTTTTTTTCACAGAATTGTCAAGTAAGAACAACTTATATGTATAGGTATAATCATTTACGTAAGGATATGATTTATCTTAAAGCATTTCATTTTCTTTATTTCCATAAATTTTTCATTTCAATTACGTACAAATAGTACTTGCCTTAGCTGTAATATTCTTTTAACTTTTCATAATATAACTCACTAAACTTAACCAACATATCGTATTATTTGGTCCTAAGCTTTGTCGTACCATTATTGCGAGGTTGATAAAGACACAGATATCGGTATTAAGACCTACTTACTAAACAAATTCACTCACTTTAGACTTGTACTTATGTAGGTTTTTTCTCTGTACTATACACACAATCACTTTTAAATACTAACTCTTCTTCGAATGGAACTGGTTCGCCGACGCCTGGGCCGCGATCTCATTCAGCAGCATATCCTGCATCTTACTCCTTACAACCAGCTTCCTTATTGGATCCAATTGCCTAAAATACGGTGCTAAGGATTTCAAGAACATCAAATCGTAGTCTTCGTCTGCAAGTTTGGGCATTTTATCAGGTATTGGGTCTTCCTCGTACCCCTGATCGAAGTATACTTCTGCTTCGTGACTGCCAGCAGTAACATTTTCTTGATCATCTACGAAATCAAAGTCATCATCTGTCAATTCTTCTTTCGTAGCTACTTTGCTTCCCTCTCTTTCGGCTTCATTGTCTTTATTAGTCTGATCTTCATTTTGTTCATCTGTTTTCGAGTTCTCCGTGACCTTATTAAGAAACTTCATCGCATTATAATGTCTCCATTTCCCGGTGTAATTTACTGAACCGAACTTTTTGACTTCCTTTTTGTACAGGTCTCGGAGATTCTTCCACTTCACTCGGAGACGATCCTCTGTGAATAGAAAGGATAAAAACATTAATAAAGATAAGAAATATAACAATATATATTTTATAGGATATAATTATAGGATTTAATTTTGTAGAGCCAAACAACAATGCCACCTTTTAGAAATTTGTAAGTATATCTAGTATTAGGTAGGTACAGAATTTTTTCAAAGCTGCAGCTCAACTTTTTATTCGAGCCATTGATTAGCAATTGAAATAGTCGCATGAATATTTTCATACAAAGCCATCCTTTGAATGCCTAACTAAATATCGCTAATGATGGATCATAGTTTGGATCAATGCTATCATCGATCTGTCCTCCCTATTAATGGCTCACCCTATTATGCGGGATAATTGTGATGCAATGAAGTAACTTACAGAGTTGAAACGCAACTTATTAGGTTTTTTGCCATTACATCTTTACTAGGGGAGTATGGCCGCCTGGAATAGAATTAACAGGACATTTAGGTGCTGGGAAGGTTTGGGTCTAACTTTCATGATTTAACAAATTAATAAAAATATCAATTTAATGTTACTTACAACATTAAAAAAAATATCATTAATTGTGTACTCAATATGGATAAATAAAATTGAGAGTCTGTCATAGAGTCATCAATCAATATACAAAGTATCTTTATAAGCATTCTGTAAATGCCTATCTTAGTGTGTAAACTGAACTACAAACTATGTATAAACTGGTGAATTGAGATTTTTGCGACTACTAATGCCATCTACATTCGCGCGGGCGCACTATCATTGTGAGCGGGCAACGCGCGGCGCGGCGCACACCCACGTGTCGCGTGTCGTATTTAAGTATACGTAATATAAAACATCGCACCTGGTAGTTCCATTAATTCCGCAATCTCCATCCAAGCCTTGGCCATTCGATACCTATCGTTGTAACGTTCGTGATGTGGATTCCACAGACATTCTCTCTTTTTCACTTCTTTAATGAGTTTCTTTAGTGATTGATCAGATAATACCAGTTTCCTCTGCATTTTGACAGTAGGCGTTTTGAATAAAATCGCGTCGCGGCACAACGGTCTACGCGACTAGAGTTCGCCGCGGCAACTGGCGGCTGGAGGCGGGCGCGCGGGTGAGCGCGGCCGATACGCACGATCAATGTATAGCGCGGCTCAGACGTGACGCTCGCGCGACTTTTGCTTTGAAAAGATAACAATTATAAGTACTAATTGCTTTCGTAATTATGTAGTTAAGTACTAAAACATTATTTTTGACGAACATAGTTACTGGCAAAGCTTTTCACGAAATGTTGATGTAATAATTTTATCTACATTAATGATTAAAATAACGGCAGTAGTAGACTTAAATAAAGGCATTCCAGCCGGGCGTTTAAACGCCAGAAATAAGTGCCTACTTAACCACGTGAGATTATTGTATTTCTTTAAAGTAGGTACCTACCGTAATAGAGTAGTTTTTACCCTGCAGATATTACAATTTTTTCTTAAATTACCTATTTATCTTTTATCAGTAATAACCTTTTAGGCCAAACAACTTAGTAATTTCTTTACCTACAAAATCGAGTATTAGTTATGTATGAATCGTAAATTAAATAAATTGCGGTATGGTTTTATTTTTGATATTTTTCTGGTGTGTCAGGAATTCCAGGAAAACCCAATTAGATCCATAATTTAATAATTGACCTATGTGTGTATATCTATTAATGTCGTTAAGACTAAGGTGGAACTTAACTGCAAGTTATACTAAATGTTTGCAATACGCAAAACAGTTTACATATTCGAAGTATAAAGCAAAAAGATTCGAACTAATAACGCTTTTTCATTTCTGTGTTTCTTTATCATAAACGTTAACATTTTCGTTGTGTGTCAATTTTCATGTCGCAGCATACAAATCGTTTCGTCTGAAGTAGACCTTACACGCGTCGCGTCATACAGGGCGCGCGATCCCGCGACGTTGCCGCGCTGTGCCAGAATAATCGCGGTTTATCGAAACCGCGTCGACTCTGACGAGTGTAGTGACTCGAGCGACCAAGTTTAGTATCGCAGCGCGTAGGCGTTTTGCCTAACAATCATTCAACGAACTTATGACATGAAATACCTCAATGAATCATCACAATTATGTTGATTAGGTAGCATATTTTTATTACGTAGGGCCAGACATGTTTTTAAAATAATAAAATACCTAGAACTGTTTGTTTCACATTTTTACATTATTTGTTATTTTGATTTGAATGCGTTAACTAAGGTCATTTAAAATAGACATGATTAAAACAAAGGATCACATTTACCATACCATAAAGTACCTAGGTAATTTTGAAATATTATGTAGGTACACAATGCGCGAATTCTCCCCTACTAGGAAAATGTATTTCCATAGTTCGTACTTACTTATAACTATTGCTATGTAAAGATATTCAAATAAGCTGCATAAAAAATTAGTTATATTTATTTTACAAAATGTAATAAAAGTTTGTATTACGGTATTGTACATAATTAATAACAAGGACATCTAGCGGTAACATAAAGAACTAGAAAGCCCATTTTGTTTACACGTTCGTGTAAAGGCAAGTTAGTGCTACCACACAAGAGAGATTAAATAAACAATAAGTACGTATACTGTTCGCTAGATGGCGATAGAGTAGCGTCTTTTGTTTTACAAAAAAAAACCTTACGTGTTCGTTCTATCTTGCAGCTTTGATTATAATATCATAATCATGATTATTCTTTACAAGTATTTTCTTCAAATTAATTAGAATTTTTCTGTAAGTTAAAAGCTACTTAAGATTTGAAAGATGTTTTGTCCGAGCAGGTGTTTTGCTGTATTTTTCGGCCAGCCATATGTTCTCCAATTATTTCCATTAATTACCGTCCATCGTCAAAAATCAGATAAGAGATGTGTCTTTTTAGATCCATCGAGGATTATTAATTTTCGAAATGGAAGCTGGGATGTTTGTAGGTACTACAAACAGTCTTATCTGACACACACAAACACTTAGCATATTTTTCATAATCCAATGCCAAAAATACTTGTTTTTTTGCATTCATTTATTAGATACTAGGTACCTTTTCTTCTACGTGATTTTTAATGATGACGTTTGGGTTTTTATATAAGAGTAGGTACTGGAGTGATCCTTATATGTATAACTGTTTTGTATTTTTTCATGCTTTTCTTTGTGTTTGGTTTTATATTCGTTTTTATTTTTTTTCATTTTTGTAGTTTCTTTTGCGTATTTTTGTTCTAAAATTCTAATTCATACCAAAATGTTCAAAATGTTTATGTGTTAATTTGATTTCTAGTATTCCATTTGATTCGAATCTTTATTCTGTTTTAATGATAATTTAATTACCCGACTGCCAAAGAAGGAGGGTAATGTTTTTCGAGTGTATGTAAGTATGTATGTATGTCTGTTCCTTTGTGACCTCCTGTAGCCTAAACGGCTTGATGGATTTTGATGTATGAGGTATCGTTAGATTTGTCTTGATTACGGGAGTGTCATAGGATACATTTTATCCTAAAAGTCCCACGAGATAAAGACATAATAATATTTTTTCTAAATTTCCCTTTAAAAAAATATGTATGCGGTATCATTAGATTCATTTCAATCACGGGAGTAATTAATATAGGATACGTTTTTTCTCAAAATTCCCACGGGAACATGTTAATTCTGCGTCAACGCAAAGCAACTCATGCGTTAGCAACATCGATCACTAATAAAGAACTAGATACACAATCCCATACAAAAGTTCGCTTCAAAACTGTCGCCAACTGTATTTAGGTACTTATACTTGAAATAAAAATGCATTAATGTAAATTAAACCTTAAATGCAACTCATAGAGTTGTTTTTACAAAGTGATGTACAAAATCTTAATACTTTTTGCGACCGAAGCTCTTGACAAACACAAATCATAAGAAATTGAACCATATTCGCATGTTTTTAAGTCGAATTTACAAAGTGTCAAAAATAAGCAATAAAATTTAACGACTTCGGCTCACCGCTAGGACAAAGAATGATTGGAGTCGAAATGTCTCGTAAGAAATATATTTCTTTATAATATTTCTTTAGAAAATACGCAAATTAAAACGCATTACTTATAGTATTCTTTTCTATAGGTTTGTTCATTTATTTACCAATGAAACTAATGCATATAGTTATAATTCTTTTTTTTTATTTTCGTCCTCCTTAATCCTTTCTATTCGAAGTCAAATAAAAAAGATGTAAAATAATAAAAAGAATATATATCTAAAGTAAGTACTGAAAATGTTGGCGTTATTGTTGTAAATTTTTCATATCGCACGGGATTTTGATGAAAGCTAAAAAAAATGTCTTTACTGCAGTTAAAATTAAATCCATTATATCTGCCTATTCCATATTTTAATAAACACAGTAAAGAATTATAATATTAAATAAAAACTATTTTTTAATAAAAAAAAAACAATATATAAAATTAGGAACAATAGCGTCTCCGCTAAACGGAACAGAATCAATCCACGTAAACCGAACAACTTAAGTGGTCATGCTAGAGAATGATTTTACGTTTAGTATAAGTGTCTTTATAAACTGTGTGCATTATAACCCCGGTTTTTGAATACGATTTCATTTGGAAAAAGTTTAAAGTTAATTTCTTAATAAAATATCAATATTTAAAATAGAATGATGACAATTATATAATGATAATATTATGACTAAACGAAAATATGAAATTCCATCCTTTTTTGCATCTTAGATGTGTGTGTTTTTGCAGTTTTTTAACGAGCACTGAGGCGTGTTTACCGTCGGAGCATTCGAGTGGTACTAAACTAAAACTACACCGCGATGTTGAGTTTGGTGGACTTTCAGTTGGGACATTTTTTTGCCACTGATTGTGTATCTAGTTCTTTATTAGTGATCGATGGTTAGCAAGCAAAAAGATAGGGCGTGGCCTGGCATGCGGCGCGCGGCGCGGTGCGGAGGGGGATATGCTCGAGTATACAGCCCGAATGCGGGCACACGCATAAGGGCACACGTCGTTGACGGTCGTCTCTAAATAGCGATTTTTTCGATACTTCGTCGTCTGACGCGAAACTTATAAAGTATAAATAACTCGTTCTTTTTCTTTCGTGTTTCTCTCTTTAAATTTATTCGTTCTTTCTTATTAATTAACTCGTTCTTCCGTTCTTTTTTTTGGTTCTTTCTTAAATTCTTCATATTAATTAATAATATAATAATAATTATTAATAAAAAAATAAAAACAGCTAAAAAGTTATAAATAAAAAAATTATTATTAAAAAAACAAAATACCCGACTGCACACTAAAAAAAGAGTAAAACAAGCCCCACAATACAAATTTACTGAATATAATTTATAAATGTTGATGGAAAGCATCGCAGGCGGGGACCACCTTGACCGCCACCAACGAAAATTCTGCTAAATGGTGCACAACAGAAATGACTATAAATAAGCCTCTGTTGGTCCCCGCCTGCGATGCTTTCCATCAACATTTATAAATTATATTCAGTAAATTTGTATTGTGGGGCTTGTTTTACTCTTTTTTTAGTGTGCAGTCGGGTATTTTGTTTTTTTAATAATAATTTTTTTATTTTAGTTTTATTTTTATTTACAATTTTATTTTTAATAATCAATAATATTACAATGTTATTATTTTTTGCATGATGTGGTCTCCTATAATTGGAGGAGCACAAAACTATTGTATTTTATTTTATTATTGCGCATGTAATGTGTTTTCTCTGTTGGAGATCCTAATAAAATAAATAAATGAATAACTAAGTATATCATTGTAGAACTAAGTACCTACTAAAAATGCTATTTCTGAGCCGAGTATCGAACTCAAGTAGCATAGCCCGATAATCAAGTAGTACTTGTTACTTAGTTACTTAGAATCAATTTCCTGTCGAAAGTTATATTATATTTATTAGGTAGGTACGTTATTTATTTCAAATCATTAGGGGGTAATGAAGAGCCGGGGTTGCGGGGCTAGTGCAATGAGGCACCGCGACCTCGGCCCAGAGCAGGAGAAGGAACAGGGGGGTTTTTAGTCAGTAAGACACTGACACTCTCTCCCGTCCGGCCCTGGGTGGGAGAAATCATTTGACGATTTTCCCCTCACCAAAAAAAGGGGTAATGAAACATCTTAATTCTTGTTCACATTTTATTTAGAGACATCGGTATAAAATATATGAGATATAAAACAGCACAGTCGTGATAAATTAAAATGTATCATAATATACGATAATATAAAACACGTCGACATATTTAAATTAACAGTTTACAGTGTAACATATATTAAAAAGTGGGATACTTGAGTGGAGTCAACTTATACCTTAAAAAAATGACCCCAAAATAAACAATATACTTAGAAACAAATATTGACAAATAAAACAAAACAGTATTTGGACAATAGGCATAGAACCAATCATTGTATTCACTGTGATATTATTCAAGTTCATAATATATTTCATAGTCAATCGTCAATCGAATAAACTGCCACAAACAGACGGAAATATAGATTAAATTATATAAACTTTATCGAATATTGATTTTTAAATTTAAATATTTTAACTTTTATATCTTATAATTATTTTATCACAGTGAATAGAGCTTAGGTGTGGGGTAGAAATGAAGTCAGGAGAAAACCTCGGGAGGCTTTGGCGAGAGTATAGTGGCCGTGTGACAACTTGTGGTAACATTAGGTATGTAATATGTTAATGATAATACTTATACTGTTTATATCCTAACACTAACTAATGCGTTTCACAATATTAATACATAATACATGACGATCATTTCAAACATATAAAGCGGAATGTCTCATACAACGCTGTCAAAGGAAACAGAATGGTCTGCAATAACAGACCGGGGTTAGCATTCTCGATAATGGTAGCGACAGAAATCATTCGCTAAATCACTTTGATTAATAAACTAGCTACTCTCTTGCGGTGTACCCTTTTGCTCGGCTCCTACAGATCGTAGCGTGACGTTTTATAGCCATATAAATAGTCGATTGAACATAAAAAATGATTTTTCAATTCGAACCAGTAGTTCCTGAGATTAGCGAGTTCAAACAAACCAACAAACTCTTTAGCTTTATTATATTAAGTAGATATATAGGATAGATTTTTAGCTTTATTACAAAAGCGTAAGGTTGAATTTGTATTAGAGATATTTACTTCTATATCAATTATAACTGATGTTATCATTATCGAGAGTTCAACCCAGACACTACATCCATGAACATTAATATACATAATTATAATAGCATAGCATTCTTCTATAGCGTCCATATATACTTTAAATACAGATATAAAAGTACTATCAAAATAACAATTAATTAAATAAATATAATTACGTATCGATTTCTCGGTTCTAGTTAATTCTGTTAATATTGTAGTGTTGTTAAACCGAGTTTAATTTAACTAAAGTTCGTGTATAAATAAGTTACCTTTTGTTTACACCTGAATTAACGTAAAATATACAAATACATTTTTCTTATAGGTAATAAAATAATTAATTATAATAATCCCATCCTTTAATATACTTCTCAATTCCAGACAAAGCTATATATATAAATATAGGTAGAATAAATATATATTTTGCATATAACATATAAACACAAATAATATAATTTATATAAAATTCGCAGATACATTTAAACCTCTATATCTTTAACTTTGGCACGGCAATTTATTTCAACAAAATGGCTAATTGCATTAAAAAAGTTTTCATTATGATAAATATTTTATGTATAATTTAAACATTCAATAGATATTTATATAATATTTAATTTTATAACAACTATACATATATAATTCGGCTATGATCGATTGATCAATCAAAATGCTTGGTTCTAAATTCAAAACATCAACTGACAATTCACGTGACATGTTGCCAGATTATGACGATGCTTGTTATTTTTTCAATAATAAATCGATTCAAGCATTTAATCGATCAAACAGAAGCATGTAAAAATAACTGATATATTTTTCTTTGGCAACTTTCCTTAAGCGAAATTCAGGCGCTAAAGCTCATAATGCATATTTAAAATAATATTACACATACATATTATATAATTACAGACTATAGTTACCAGGTATAATACAATAAACTAGTTTGTTCTTACCCTAACACATCGACGAACTTAATATCATTAGGTATATGGAATACTTTGTGGGAACAACTGGCAGACGCCTAGCTCATTATGCAAGCCTGGTAGGTGTACTATACTCAATGAAAATAGAAATAGCAAATTGTATATGGAATCTGGGCACAGGAACGCCATACATACTTGATATTTCTATTTTCATTTACAAAAGAAGATAATATTTTCTCCATTTCAATTTGGATTGAATTTGGAAAAGTTTAAAGTTTGGGTTTTAATTTAAATGGGTTTTCCAAAATAAATCCATGCATTCTAAACCTACACAAGCATCCGCTAGTCGGTCCCAGAACTTAAATAAACATTCATAAACATTAATACCAGTACAACACACAATGTCTTCATCATTACTCCTAATCAATAAATATACAATAATAGTAATCCCGTCCTTCGAAGTAGCTTCCATCTTTACCACAGAAGACTTGCGATAACTTCTGCTCATACATTTTCCATACAACTCTATATCAGCAAGTTTATGGCACATACAAATTAGATAGCAGACAGAGACAAGTACAATCTCATAGATTCAGTACAGTAAGTACCCAAAAATGTATGAGATGAGTTCAATCAACTCGCGACACTCCATAGATCTTACGCATATCCCAAAAAGTAAAAAAAACAATAAAAGTAAAAATACTTAACTCTAGAATATCAGAAAACTAACAAGTAAAATTATGTGTGCTTTCAATACGAACAGATAAGCATTCATAAATCCGATACATAATTAGATTTTTCTGGACCAAGCATTGGACCCCACAATGAGTGATGAATTCAATCCGTAGACCCCAAAATATATATTCAAAAATTAAATTATTGTGTAAATCGATGACTATCAAATTATAGTACTATAGAAAGTAAATAATCAAAACTGATAAATAAACAATTTTTTTGAAATTTATTTTAGAACACTCTTCTCAGTCTCTTAGGATAAAAATTCCAAGGTTTTTCTTTAAAAGTATCGAAAGTATAAGGTGGAGGCTGTAATGAGAAACGGCTAAGTAACGTGAGGCGTGAGTGTGAGTAGATATGATATTCCACATTCTATATATTAACATTGATACTATCCTACACGATGATCATAAATTGGTCTATTAGATATCTTCGTTAATAATAAAACACCGAGACACAACATCGAATGTAAACACGTACAGCTATTGTAGTGATAATGTAATATTATTCTTCATGATCATTAAATTTTTATTATAATTGTAATATAGGTAGATGGAAACGAAATTGCCTTGCAGGGATGTGAGACCACAGGCTGCGAATAAAATGTTGGACAGCAAAAGATGAACTGTTTTCGGGTTTGTCTGCAAACCTATATTTTATGATTGACTGTCAGTCAGTCAGTTATATAATTTCAAAATGAGCGCGTTTGAAATTAACTAGTTCTTCATATAATATTAATAAATTCAATAGAGAATAATGACGTAGGGACTAACGTTATATAAAGTTATATTTTTGAAACGTTACTAAGCTCTCATAACTGCATGCAATTCTTATAGTACATGGTCGTAATCATGTGTTCTATAGTTTATTAAAACTGCAGTTTATTACTAGGTATTTACTAAATCCATTCTGTTCACGACGGACGGTAAGGTTTAGAATGATAAAAAGATTATATTAACAATTTTAAAACGATCGCATTTAAAACTTTTAAGGGGCCATTTAAAGCCAGAGTTCAGATTGTAAATTTTTCAAAAATATATTCACTCATAAATTATAATGTATTCCGAATCTAATTATTTTTATTATGATAAAATAATTTTAATGATGCAATTAAAAAGTTTTAAAATATAAAATGAGCGGTGAGTATTCCGTGAGAATAAATGGTAGGTCCTAATTAAAATGATATGTAACTAACATTGTATATATATGCCATAACATTAATACAAAAGACAATAATTATGTAGACACATTACAAAATATTTACAAGTTAGATTAGAGTAAGGGATACGTGAGAACAGACTGGAACATTATTTATTCACTTATTGAATATTGTGGAGTACGTCGCCGAGTGTAGCAGTGTACCCAGGGCGACCACTCCTTCTTGACAATGAACCGCTGAATCCTACAGACACAAAATGGCGGCGATTCATTCTCAATTTCCATACATGATTACAGTAATCCGTTTATATATTTTGATTTTATTCATTAGGTACATTACTTTAGTAGATATTACTAAAACCTATATACTAGAATGTTTTGAGTTACCTTACGAGAAACATAATTGTGTATCTTAAGTAAGACTTGCGTGGTTGAAAATAAATAAAACAACAGTGTTTTACTGTTTGTTAACGTAAGTGTGACGTCAACAGACGGAGAGTGTAGTCGTGGCACTGTTTGAAAACGCAACTGGGAATTCAAGCACGTCCAGAGGCGTACTGTGTGAATAAGTAATTAAATAAGGTCACGTCAAGTATGGGAAGTTTTCATATTAAAGTACTCCCAATACGTTAAAAGTAAAAAGTAAAAACAAGTGAGTATTTCATCATTGTACGAGAAATAAAGATTTGCGACAGACTGCTACTTGTAAACGTAAGACTAGATTGAAAACCAGTCCAAGAACAACAGCAATCTGTGGTGTGGGCTCATCACACAGATAACTATTGTCAAGAGACACAAATCTAACATTCTGAGTAGACAGCCAACAATATGGCGACATCGAAAGTATACGAGTACATGATGTGGGCTATATTGAGGCCCGCAGGTTCTTTACAGCACACAGACGCTTAAGATAGGCTAGCCTAGTGGTCAGGACTTAGCTTAAGTGTCGCTGGCAGCCGAGGGTTGCTTGATAAGGTCGACATCACGTCCCACACTAGCTTGGGACTTAAGCTTCGGCTTGTCAGCTGCCTTATGATCGTGTGAGTGCTTCTCATGGCCTTTGTGGTCTTGGTGCCCTGTCTTATGGTCTTGGTGGCCCGTCTTATGATCTTGGTGCCCTGTCTTATGGTCATGGTGACCAGTCTTGTGGTGTGTGTTGTCATGGTGACCGGATTTGTGATCCGGTCCGCTCTCGACCACACTCACTCCATTTTTGTGTGTTGTGGGCTCTGGGTCCTCTTCGTTATCCTGACGGAACTTGCGATTGTACCAGTGGAGACAGATGCACCTGGAAATGATAAGAGAACCGATTTTAATTTTGTGACACTTATTAATCGAACGACGTCTCGAACTGAATATTTTCTACTATGACGGTGTTGTTGTTGCTTGTGGCTTTAGCTAGTATTTGGTTTATGGTATGATGTTATTATTATTATCATTCTTTGTAAAGTACGTATACTTGATATTTCATGATAAATAGGACCTTAAGTTGTGTGTACCTAACAATATTTTTTGACTTTAACTTAACATGATTATTAATAAGCAGCTTTTTAAAATAGCACCAGGTCAAGGTTTTTTACGTAACATTAACAAAACACTTTTGAATTGGTCTGCCTGAGCTTGACTATAAATAACATCGCCAAAACCTGCATTAAGTATAAAAATGAGGGCTTTCATTTACAGCTAAAGCTATTACAGTGGAACAGTAAAGCTATGGAGTTGCTTTTCTTTATTTATTTTACAAAATGCGCCTTTAGAACGACAAAGATTGAAGTGGAAGTGACCGGCTGCCTTTTAATTCAAACGTAATTAACAACACCAGAAAGGCCTCTTTTTTATTAAAAATTTCGTACCTACGTTACATAAAACAACGCTTAAAGAAAAACGCGGGGCTGTTATCTTTTTAAAAGAAATATTTGTATTTCACTGTTCTTGCCGGTTTCGCAGAATAAAGAATATTAATATAACAAAACATTGTTTTCTTTGTTTAAATTATCGCATAACCACAACGTTTAATATATGTGCAAAAAATAAGGCTTTGTTAAAAAAACAAGGATATGAAATGATTAAAATGAGAGCGGTTGCTGAAATATAACCGCGTTCATTCAAACAGAAACTGATGCTGTTTATCAGATCATAAAAGCATCCATTGCAAACTGCGGTACGGATAAAACCATCAATCTAATAAATGTCAGCAGAGCAAGGACGGCCCTGATACCAGGCAAATATGAAAAGAAAGAGTTTTGATCGGGCACCGCTATAGCGTAATAACTTTCTTATCTCTAGGACATTTTCCCGTCACAAGGATGCTAAAATGGCGGTCTGCGAATTTCTTTTTGCTTGCCGGCAGGATGATAGTAATCGGTAAATGTTGGAACAAGGTTAAATGATAACATTTTCAGTTACTTTCTAATTTCTTTCATCTTCAATCTCATATTTGATTTGGGGATAACTAACTAAGGTACGTAGGTAATGGTGTTAGGTTTTAAAGTTCTCATGGAAATTACACCATAAACTTTGCCCTCTGTGGGCCGTAGTACTCTATAACTTTACTTTCTCGTTGAATTAAAAGCATTTTGCTATCGGCGAGTATTTCATTTGCCTAATTGGCTGGGGCCAGTTTATCGTTAATTTTCCTGAGTGTAGCCACTTTAATAGTGGGCTTTACGTGACTTTGATGTAAGCAATCCGTCCTTTTCGTATTCAATGACATATCAAGTAGGATCTCCACGTCTTTTACCCAGTCACAATTTACATATTCTATAACTGTTAACTTAACAGAATTTATTGATACAAGTAAATATAATAACTAATTAAAAACTACAAATTACCATCGTGAGCACTCACGGTAGATAACTAGTTTATACAATAACAACTTTTAATGATTGTAATATTGATTGTACCTACAACTCATTTACTATTTCTGATTAATTCGTTAACTCGTACATTTAGTGACCCAGAGACCTTTAAGTGTCACCACTTACCTACCGTATTGTTATGTTCATGGTTACTCGCAGTGTAACTACTACATAAAAGTAATGCCTACAATAAGCTGAATCTTTAATTAACCTTGTCTAGGTATTATAAAGACTTATGACGAGGAGAGTTGACAAAAAGGATGTAATTCAAAAACATATGTATGACACACACAAAAAACCAAGTGTCTTCACATGTAATGTTGCCCTGGTACCCACCTCAGAATAGCGCCAAGTATGCCAGCCCCAACCAGTGCAGCGCCGGCTCCCATCAGATAGTAGCGATGTTGTGCGGCTTCAGCGCCAGGTGAGAGCTGCACCAAGCCCACCACCAGTACTACGATCCCTAATAGAAGGGATCCCACTACTGCGTGAAGAGCTGCCACCTGCGCATACTAATAACATTTGAAAAATCTTTAAGGGTTTGTGTAAAACATAGATCTCCTCTAGAGTAACATTTATTTACGATGAAGGGAAAGGAAGAAGGAGAAGAATGTTGTAACACAGATTTGGAGTGTTCTTGAGGGTAAAGAAGTACTTTTACGGTCTAGCGTAGTGTTAAACAGTGTAGTGTTATTGTTGTTTTCAACGCAAAAAGGTCGGATTTCCTGTGGTTTGTACTGACCTTAAAAATACTTCCTTGGAAGAGAGAGGGACAGTGACCAACATAACACATAAGAGAGGGATGACAACACATCATGCAAGGGGTGTATTGTTACCTTGTTAGTGGACTATGCACTATGTTAGTAGCGCGGTAGCGTTGGAGGCAACGCTGCCAACATACATACAGACTCCCACAAAAACTGGATGAGTTTGTATGACATCTTGGAGGCAACCTCCAATAACCAATAAGTTCAGCCTATTACAGATGCGACAAAAATTAGTAATGTCTGTTATAAAATTTTTGTTATATTAATCTGTTATATGTATATTTAGGTATATTCTTAGGTATAACAAGTAAATAGTTTAAGATTAGGCTGATAAATGTTCAAATACTGCGACAGTTCACTTCATCGACCGACTTCATTTAAATACCAAAATACTATTTTCTTCTGACACACAATTTTAATAAAGTAGTAGTTATCTAGATAAAATGCGGCTTGCACTGTACGCTCACCTTTCCGCATACGTAGAGTTCATTCCTCAGCCGATTGTGGTCCGGCGAGGGTGTAGCGTCTGCATCCATGGGGCGGCCGAGCTGCAGTGGCAGCTGCGATGGTCTCCGCCCCCCTCCTCCTCCGCGCTTCTCATTGCGACGTCTTTCATGGCGAACCGCCACAGCTGGCATAGCACCAATCATCTTCGCTGTACAACACCAGGCCTTCAGAGGCGTGATGGAGGCCCATGTTTAGAAGTCATGCTTTTAAACACGGGCCTCCTCCACTCATCGCATGATTGAACGTTTTTATTTCCTAACCTACTTCAATGAATTTTATTTAAGGGTAGTTTTCTACAAACAAATGGTTTTGATGTTTTACTTTTTTTGTATGGAATGCAATAGGAATGGAAATTTCTATTATCATATAATGTGAAGATTATTATGATCATAATTAAGCATTATAAAATAAAAAGTGTGTCCTTCCAAATATTTGTTTTGGATATAAATGATGAATGGCAGGCTCGCAAACATTTTTTCTCCCTCGCAAACTATGTCTGAACTCATTCCCTCATGCCTCACATACAAGCACACACAGGAGCGCACGTATTTTACTGTCATACTTTAGTAGACATAAACGGAAAATATGAGCTCGAAGCTTTTTATCTTTACATAAAAATATAACTTTAATATATCGTTGGTGAGTTTTCCTTCAAAGCGAATAAGGAAGTTTGAAGTTTAGTGAAACTTGTAGGTAACAAAACCAATTTGGCGACTGTTGGGTAAGACTGTTACAGACAGAGCAACATTATTGCAGAGGAAGAATTGTATTGTCCTTCGAAACTGAGAACCTCGAGTTTTCAAAAATAGTTTATAGTAAAAAGTCTTAAAGCTAGATGTATAATTATACTTACACCGCTGATTATCTCTTGGTTGAAGTAAGGACTGGAGCATATCTGCAACAAGCAATTTGATGTCAAACGAAGAATCCAAGATGGCCGCTTTACGGAACAATATGAGTTGAAGCATCTCGTAAAAGTTTTGCAATAAAACAATCTTTATGTGCTTTGTCTGTGTCTGTCACTTGTAAAAATGTTATGTACACTTATACTGAAAGGGTTTTATGAGACATTTTATTTTTGAAGTGCAATAGCTGTAGCAGGTATTTATGATCAAGTATAAAAATAAATTACTTCTATGACATGTAATCCTAGTAGCTTGGAGAAAATCTTTAACCTTTAATACCATTTAGTTTTGAAGTCTGTCACTGTATATAGTGCTTGGCTAGAGTGCCGTGGGAAACACTGCAGTATGACAAGCGCTAATGCACTTGGTACACTTTTGTTGTGACAACGTGCAAGAAGTGGAAAGAGTTTTGAAGTTTCATTTACAATGAAAAATTAACGAATAACAATCCTGCGTCTTAAATATAGTTTATCTTTTTATACTTAGTTACCAAATGAGAATAATTATTTAATAATTTGTACCCTGTAAGGCAACTAATGAGTGAATAACATCAGCATGGGAGTGAGTGAGTGAACTTTGATTTTGTCGATGGTACTTTGGATGATACTGAATCTAGTTTTATGTTTGATCAAAGACATTGTAGTGTGGGTTGTAAAATGTAATGTAATGTAAATGTAATAAAATAAAATGATTTTTCTATTGCGTCCGTTCACAGAAACGATCGACTGTTCAAATAGAACAAACATGTTTGTGACCCTATGGGAATTTCCAATTGAAAGCTTAGTAAAAATACCCCTTTGTTTTCAACAATTCATTTTGGTAAAAAATATTTTTTATCGACATTTAGAACACGCTTTATTAAAACCATTTTGTCTTTCTTTTTTACTTCTGATTATGTCGGGGTTAGTTTCTTCTTAGTCGTTATTTATCAAAGTCATCCAAATAGATTTACATGGATATCCGCTGCACCGAAAGCCAGCAAGCACCACCACAAATACGTGGCCGATCTTTCGTAGAGTGTTAAAGATTTGAGAAAGGACGAAAATCGCTCGAAAGACGTACGGCTGATGGACCTGGCAAGTACTTGAATGGCGACAATGGACCGGAAAACTTAGCGTGGCCTTCCGCTAGACGGACCGACGATCCGACATCGTCAGAGTCGCGGGGATCCAATGGATGCAAGTGGCAAGTTGTCGTTCGACGTGTAAGACTAAGGGGAGGCCTTTCTTCAGCATCGTCTTCCGGCTGATGATGATGATGACGATGATGAAAGATCTGAGGTTTGGAGAATTGAGGAAAAAGCTATTTTTAGTATCGGATAGATGCATTTTGTCGAGATTATAATAAACTAAAAGATTCTACGGTTTAGAGAAATAAATTACTGATCGATATACATATATTTTATATTTGTACTCGGTGATAGATCGTCGGAGTAACCAATCTTGGCAGGTAGATTACTGATCACAAAAGTACTCAGTTCTTAGACAGGTATAATAGCAGACAGGGTTATGTTCTAAATCGTGAGTACATACGAGCATTTATTATTTACTTCATACTCAAGTTTTAAGAATAGTAAATAAGTAGTAACAATAAATAGGAAAACAGATAAAATTCTATAAAATCGGAAAAGGCTACTGCTCAACAGCTGTCAGGTGGGATTCTTTCAGTATTAATCTCCTGACAAACCTCCAAAACCAAATTTAATATTACTGGATTCCTATATCTTTGTTACTGGTAATATCAATACATAGCTACTAGTACCTTTAGCTAGGTAGTTATTTCTGTCGATTTGACATGAGCTAGAAAAAGGTTACAATATAACCTCCATTACCATTTTCTGTATAGTTTAGGCATAAGACGAAATCTCTTATGAAAATATCTAATATTTGAGTTGGCAAGTAATCAACGAATAAGAATTACAACAATAAATGGTTGCTACGGAGATAACTAATACAGTTCTCACTGAGTCATTGTCTTAAGGACCTTGGGATATTATGCCTATATTTTGTATTGATGTTACATAATATAATAATAAAAGAACCAAGTTTTTGTAGTGCTCCTTTTTCTCTGAATCCTCCAGTTTTGTTATTGGTTAAACAATAACTTATGATTATTACGATGTTTATTTTATCATCGAAATAAATCAGATTTTTATTAATGCGAATAATCCAAAGTGTGTCACATTGTTTCCATTCTTTTGAATAGAATTGCTGATTTTTGTGTGGTGTGTGTGTGGAAAGTGTGGAGAGCCATGCTTCGGCAGAAATGGGCTGGTTCGACTGCAGTGGAACTAGCGTACAACAACAGCGTTATGTTTCGCCATGAAAGTCTCTCTTCATTCCTACCCAATCCCTTAATTCGCAAAACGCTGGCAACGCACTTGATACTTCTCTATTGTTGCGGATGACCTTTGGTGACGCTGATCTAACCATCAGTTAATCAAACTTTGCATATCACATAAAAATACCATACCATCCACACGTTATTATTATCATATTTAACAGAGAATGGAGAGAAGAAACAATTATTAAAAATGTATATTTTTTATTAAGCATGAATTTTACATTTTATTATGAAAATGGAAAGTACCAGGTTAGTCTACAATCCAATATTTTGCGGCCAATATTAGATCTGTATCATATATCGCTGATTCACTTCGTATAAATGTAGTATGACGAGTATATCATGTTTCCTCACATAAATAACGTCTCGGTGTAACCTGAGAATTTTCGGGTCACGCTTCTGTAAGAGATAGGGAGGGTGGCATTACAGCACAATCGTATCGGACGACCGGTCGCACAATTATTGTGAAACTGGTCGCCTTTTATTTACAGCGCCTCATCGTTTGTCTCGAGCATAAAGTGAAATTGCGCTCGGCTTCTGTTTTCCTTTTGTGAAACAAAGTATAAAAAATCTGGGAAAGAGTGTTGAGGTTTTTCTTTATACTAGCTCAATATTGTTTATCAGCTTTGATATTTATTTCTGATTTTAAGTGTATATTATTTTACTATAAGCTTAGTTTTTGTATAGTACTTAAATAACGTGAGACATATAAAATTAATTACACTGTTACTCGTCGGCAGTGTGACATCGCCCTGTCTTGAACCTAGTAGACCTTTATCTCAGTTAGTCCACGTGAGAAAGTTGGTATTAGATTTTAAGTTGCTTTTAGATATTAGAATACAAGAAGAGTCTTTAATAAAATTTTGTTGTAGCAAAATCTAATCTTCCTTTACGTTTATTTAATTTAATTTTTTAAGTAAATTTCAGTAAGCACAAGTATGATCTACAACAGAAAACCAACCACAAAAGTATGACTCTGATTGACGGACTCCATCAGAATTACTTGTATATAAATATATCTCCCAATTAGTGTTACTGACATAACCGTAATATATACTGTCTGATATATCAGGGAGAAACGTGTTCCGGTCAGGATATTGACAGTCCCCCCTCGACATCACCCTTCCACTAATTGGTGGGGGTCATATTTTATACGTCATGTCATTTTAGGGGGATCCGGTCTCATATTTGTATATAATCCCATATATAGGTATACCTTGTATTGCTAAGTTTATAGACAATGATTATTCAATAGCCAAAAGACACTTGGGTATAGAAACCGAATTGAATTCTTTACAATAAAATCGACTATAGTATTCGTTTACAAGTAAAAGTCACAAAGACAAGAATTTAAACTATTAGTGAAACAACAACAGCATTTCATCAAACGGATAACTTTTCTAATTGTCTCGCTTTAACCCGCCGTATAACATACGGTACTACTTACATCGACAGGCTACCGAGCTACTCTGCTACGAGCTACGAAACTGTGGGTTTGGCTACGGGCTACGAAGCTACAGGCTTCGGGTGGCTACGAACTACGAGGTGGCATTTGCCAGGTACGCTACGCCAATGGTCAAGTTTTTAGTAATTGGCCACGCATTACATATTATAGCCGATCAACATACATCTTCATTGTTACTACTAACATAGTACTAACTTGAATGGAAAGGTTCTTAACTGTTACTTTCTGCCTCTGACAAACTTGAGAATTTGATAATATGCTTGTCAAAAAAATAGTAAGATACGAATTTCATTGTATGTCTACAATTAACAGTCCAGGGAGGCAGTATAATTACAAAGTTATTATATTTGAGTTTTCAGTAAACCCACTATTTTATTTAGATAACCCACGCACATGAAAGTGTGTATAATTAAGTTAATTTCAGAATCAAAACACGGGCCTACAAAAACGAATAATTGATGTGTTAAGGAATAAATAACAAACGCGACCTTTTGTAATAATTAGTTTATTTAATAATAAATGTGTAATAAATCGAGTGAAATAAATTATCTTTGCCTAACGTGGAATGATTCGTGAGTCGAGATAAAATAGCCTTCATTGTAGGGGGAACAGGTCACGACGAAGTTTGTAATTTCCAAGCCAAGAAATAAATATAGTTATACAACGATGGTATGTAATGGTTAAGGAATAGACAGGGATCAATTTTCCACAACCTGTCTTTCGATAATAGATTACCAACTTTATGACTTTGTAAATAAATCTCTTAATGTATTGTGACGTGACACGCTTACCCCACAATAAGTCTGATTACAAAAGTAGTTCTCATACAATTTTACAGAAAACTATTTTTTTACATAATTTTTATTACATTTTATCAAAGATGACTAGATTGAAAAAGAAAATGTTTCTAATGTATTGAATAGGACAAATCCGAATTTTCTTTATACAAAGTTTAGGACTAAAATTCGATTCTCAATCTAGGAATTTATAATCTTATAAACTTATTGATTTTGGTGTTGTATTTTCTATTTTTGATAACTCCTATAAGTTAGTATCACTTTATGAGAAAACAACAGCAACCATTGTATGTTCTGAATAGGATAAAATATTGATTTCAAAATGACAACGATTATGTAAAAAATTGTAAATAAATGCGATGATATATGTATTCAAAAGATTTAACTATAAAAATGTTTAAAAATCTCTAAGGAAATACAGTTGTTACCAAAGTAATCGACCGCTCCGTGAACCATATTAATTAATCTTTTCACACACATATACTGACACGTGCACAACATAAAGACGCCACATAAAGAACGGTCATAGAGTTTGATCACAACTATATGTCGTTATTGCTTGTTCAAGGTCCACAGGTGATTAAAAAATAAATAAAACATTTTAAAATCCGTATGGCACTATAGTTCATAAAACAAAACACGTAACTATTCAAATCGATTAAATACATTAATGTGCTTTACAAGTGTATAGTTTTATTTAAAAAATGCGCAAAAGCGTTCATAAAAATCTTTCCACGACACCGAAATGGCATAAAAAAATCACAACTAACATGTTTTGAGCTTTAACACGACATCAAAACATTTGGACAACGAAATGACACTACAAATTATAAACTAGAGACTTCAATCACAATTGATGTAGGATATTTAGATATATTTTGTATTTCAAGCTAGTAGCGAAGCGCTGCAGCGCGTCTGTCGAACGCTTTACGCTTTGTGATCAACATTTGTATTCACTCTCGAAGGCATCGTGATCCGGAGCGAGGGATGATTGCATGGTATGTACACGTGACACTTACAGCCAAGTACTCGATTCGAATTACCCTATCAAAATTACCTAGATATAAAAGTATAGGCACAAGAAATTTTCACAATGAACATGTGCAAACACTATATGTTGCGCTATCATATGTGCATCAGAATGAAGTATACGATAAAGTAATTATATTATTATTCAATATTATTCAATCACTAGTACATTGGTATAGTCACAAACATCTAGTCGATCGCTGCAACGGTAATAAAATTTATTTAACATTTACATAACTTGGTAAAATACTTCTTTCACTACTGTTATAAAATTTCGCTGTGTTTTAGTATAACATTTATAGTTGTAAAGATAAAATCTATTTTCACTTGCTTACAACAATGCACTAATGACCGTTTATTTCCATCTAATTTAATGATAATAATAAATTTTAAAAATTTTATATAGAATTTTTTACAAAATAATACTGTCACCAATATCTTCACGACAAAAATGTTAAAGGAAAACGTGCACAAGTTGTAAAATTACAATTCACTTTTATCTCCCTTATTTAGTACAACACGAAGCTAGCTTTTTCTAGACATTCAGGCGACAGAATATAAATACACGACTAGACTTTATGTCCACGAAGAGAACACTCGAGCTACTAAGCACAAACATTCCGAGACGTTCCCGTTTTATGACGAATTTATGATTCAAAAGGATATTTGCAAAGCTGACAATTCTTTACGTGCTGCACTTTGTTCTGTTGTTGCAATAAAAAAGGATAAAGTCATTCACATTTTATACATTTCAAGTAGAATTCTTATTTAGAAAGTTGAACATTTTGCTCGAAAAACAACTGTTTTAATACTACAGACAGTACAAGTTCGTATACATAATATTGCTCACATTGTACAAATCTAGAGTTCCAGTTATTTATATCCCTTGTTTCAACTATCTAAAGATTTTGTCTGAAAGCCCGGTGTTCTCTTAATGGACCTTACGATCTACTACTTATCAAAAATTACCGAAAATTGTGCCATTACAAATACACAATATTAATTATATTGGTGAAATATTTATTTAATAAGGCAATGTTTTATAGACAGCACTTACAGTAAGAGACAGATATTAGATACCCGCTACGAGGTATGCAATAATTCGCGAACTTGGTGTTCTTTGTCAATTTACTTCTAAAATTGTGAAAGTTGTTTGTTCACAACATTATTTTTACTAACCCTTTCATTTGCTAATAACATTTACAAAGTAATTTGCTAAAGAACATCAAATTCGCTCAATAATAAATGGAAGATAAAAAGAGAAAGTACTAGGAGAGAAGTAATGGGAAGGAGTGTAAACCTAATAATTTAAATTTGAGCATTGTGAAGCTAAGCTCGTGTGTTTAAGCTTAATATTAATATCAATGTTTAATAATGTGTACATATATTTATATAATTTGACATCTCGATTTAAAATGGAAAATATTTCACAGCCCCAAATAAAATAAACCTAACGATAAAAGTATAAAATTATTACATAAATTAATTTAAATGCACAGATGTAATTTACGTTAAAATCGATCTCAATATATCTATGTTACTGGATTGGACATTGGTGAAAGTATTTTTAGCTATTGAAGATTGAATTGAAAGTAAAGATTAGAAATATATTGAGGTCGACTTTAACATAATTAATTTAGAACATGAAATAACCTAAAGGCTTTACAATAACGTAATAATATGCATTGCCACGAAACTTTTGGCACAGGTCTGTTGAAAAGAAAATTGTGCACTTTGTGTGCCTTATGATATCATGATATTTATTTTATATTACAAATTATTTAGATAATAATATATTTAGGCACCATTCAGATACGTTAGGTAGAGTTCGAATGCTCTCTATTGATATTTTTTTACTTTTAGAATAGGAATGCGTGCTATAATTTCTTTTTAATATTATTTTATGTAGACAAGATTATTTTTTAAGTTCAGTCAAAATAGGAAATTTTGTTTCTATACCTACAAACATATTTATGGATCTGGAATGTTTTGTTCGATACTGATTTCAAGCAAAATACTTGATAGTTCGAACTCACCCACGTACCTCAACAGTAAACTAATTAATAATTAATTAGAGTAGAAGACAAACCAACATACAATATTATATAAAATCGTCAGGTATAAGAACAGTATATAACAATCAGTCTCAAGCCAATACATGCGGAATTCCAATGTTAATTTAATTAAATATACAAGATCACTCGTTTACCACTGCAGTGTTATATTCAGACTACCAGGAGAACAAAGCAACGCACAGCTATGTTTACTTTCACAAACATTCGTTGATGTTAAAAGATAATGACATTGTTTTGACTATTACGTCGTATCGATGCTTAGTATTTATTCTAACTGCGTAAATTCAGCTTTACAAACAAACAAAGACCTGCTAACAAACAACGTTTCCACGATACGACTCCATCGTTTGTTATTCTTCGCTTTCCAACAAAACGTCGAAATAAAAGAAATTCCCGAGTCACGCGACCGGAGCCATTGATCTCGTTAGCGGCCGCGTTCCTGTTTAACTACTGCAGTTATAAACGAGTTCACGATACAACTTACTGCTAAGTCTACCAAAGAGTTGGTCCGTCTGTTAAAATATAAAATAGAGAAGCGTTCCCCGAACTCAAATGAAATATCCATTGAAACGTCGAAGCATCCAAGCTTTAACCAAATAGCAGGATAGTTACATAGAAACCTTGTTAACGAATATAGCAGTATAGTAGAAACACGATCTCATTACAAGAGATTTAGAGTTCATTTCACTTTGCCACGATTCACATGTAATAGACGAAGGAGGCAATTTTCGACAATTCTCTGATTCCGAGCATATCTGAGATTTAAGAGCGGAAGTAGAGGAAATGGCCACTAACTGTAACAGTTCCGAACTGTTGGAAAAGACTAGCACTTTATATGAGAGTGCTCTAGACATTATATACTTGGGGTTGTATCCACTCTGGTAATGTTATGTTGTGCGAAGCTACATAGTATAGTCACACGGTAGCGTGCTCACAGTTTGGGGCATCACACTTAGTTAGCAGAAACAGCGAGTTATGTGACGTCCCGCGGAGAGCTCGGAATCAGTGAGTTGTCGATTTAGGTGGCTCACATGCGCGACATGATCATGTAGCGGCCGTCGGACAGCAGCTCGCGCGTGTCGGACGGCGACCCGGGGCTGAGGCTGGGCGCCACCGAGGGGGAAGAGTACGTGTCCTTATTAAACTTGCCGAGCCGTCCACCACCCTCAGACGTTACCGAGATCTCCTCCTCTACGATCTGCTCTAGTGGCAGCTCGCGAATGGCGTCACCGTTGATCGCCAGTGCGTTGACAAACCCGTGCGCGCGCTCCGGTGGCGGCTCCGTGTATGTCTCCGTCACCGTCTCCGGCAGCACCTCGCTGGCACGTGCACGGCGCGCGTTCTTCGTGCGCATTCCACCAGTTTCAGCGTCCCTCTCTAGCCGGTGACCTGAGCGAGACCTCGTCAGCTGTCTCTGTACATAATCCTCCAGGGCGTCTTCCTCACTCTTCATCAAGTATTTGTGCAAAACAATCAGGAAAACCCCTATGCCCACTGCGAACATGCCAGAGCAGACCAACTCATTGAACCAGCTGACAGAGCCGACGGTGCTCCATGACGTCACGTTGTCCGGAAGAAACCCGGAGCCGAGCAGGAACAGGCCGAGCACGAGGAACACCACTCCGAGATGGAGCATACCGACCGTCGAGACGACTTCATTTTCCGTGGGGTGAGGCTTTCTGTAGCGACGTCTCTCCAAGCTGCCGGTGGAGCAATGCGGGGAGGTGACTCCCGACTCTGAGGACTGTAGCGAGTAGCGGCGCTCGCGAGCTCGCTGCTGCTCAGCGCGGCGCTTGCGCTCGCGGCGGATGGCGAGCGCCGAGTGCAGGCCCACCGCGTGCATCCTGCAAGCACGGGCACGGGTGAGTGGCGCTGGTCCCGCCGCGTCGCACGCGCAGCGCGGAGGGCGGTGCGCGCGCGACGCATTGCGCGGCGTGGCCGCAGGCGCGGGTAGCCGCACGCCTGGCGGAGTGACCGTCGACCCGTGCCCGTGCCGTGCCGTATGCGATAGCGCAATACATGGAGGAAAGAACTTGACGTGAGCTTCGGAACAATGTAATTGTGCAGCGGCTGACTAGAGAAACTCAATTAAATACGAACACAACTTAGACTAGCGCCTGCCGTATGAATACAATGCACTACTTCACTTTAACATCAAGTCCGTTCCTATACACACAAATGTAACAACTATTGTTCGCACAATAAAATAGAACAGATATAGATAATAGTGGTAGCAATAGATAATATTAAAATTATTGCAGTATCAGTAATAACGTCGCTCCCTTAAGAATATAAAACAAGACAGTGTCACGTCATAAAAGTTGAGTCTGTCGCCGGAGGACATCGCTAATGTATTCGGAAATTGTCGTAAAATATAAAACAAGTTGATGTTATCTCCGGGTCGCTGTACAAAGTACATCGTATGACATTTCCAGTGGTTCGGGTCACAAATGAAGGTCCTCTGCTAAATTATTCACAGGAGTCGCCCTCTGTGCGCGGGGATGTGAAAAGTTTGAACATGTCGAAATAAAGACATGAAAAGAAAATATAATGGCCAGTAAGGTCTGCCTACTGGATGTAAAGTACTATGTCCTTTTGAAAGAGAATGTTTAGATATAAAAATGTATTTTCTATTTAAAATGACCTAGATTTATATAAGCAGTAGTTTACACCCCGCACTCTAAGTTTCTGTACAAAAAGCTGGTTGTTTACAAAAGCTCGTACCTCGGAGTACTTGCATTATGTGCAACAGTGATGACGTCACACAAACTCGTACAAAGCTACGTTTTCAAATGTCCCAACTACGACACATTGAAATGTCCGCCTCAAAGCCTTGAATGAGGCCTCTCCGGGACTCTGGAAGCGGCTGAATTTCATAACGTTGCTATATTTTATTTTAATAAACACGCGCCGGTGGAAAGGGCTTTATGTTTTCTCTTGTTATTTATTTACATTTCGATGTCTTGTTTATTTTGTTTAAGGAAGTATAACAAGTAATTTGTTACGTAATGTGGGATGTAAGAAAGTTATGTTACGCGTATCTTACTTTAGGCAATTAATTAAAATGCATTACGCTTTTTATAGTACAAAGGAACAGATCCGTGTGTAGTGGATTGACCTCTTTTTTGAAGGATAACTATCACTTAGTACATAAAAACAAATACCAATTATAACTACATTAAAAAGAAAATTAAAATAAATTACACCCTCAAAATTTACTGGTCCACACTTACTGAATTGTGCATAGTAAAGTTTGGATTCACAGTCCTCGCCACCAGCCGATTTATCGCTTTAAGCTATGGAGCTCTGCCAACCAGTTCAACCTCAGAACTATTCATCATGTACATAGCTGTGGAAATTAATAGTAAAAAAGGTTTTACTTCAGTTTTCCCTAAGTAAATGCTGCGTAGTGAAGCCAGAACAAGGTTGGTGCAGTGGCTAGGCAACTGGCTGCTGTGCAATATGCAGCGGATTCGATTCCCACACGGCAGAACACTGTGTGATCCACAAACTGTTGTTTAGGCTCTGGTCGGCTTGTGTACAGGATAAAATCCTGTGGGGTAAAGTTATTTAAAAAAAAGAAGAAAAGAGTTGATATTCCATTCTTATTCTTCACGTGGGCAGTATAGCACAGACCAAGGACAGTATAGCACAGCACAGCACATTCTATAGAGACCTCTGATCTTAAACCGCATAAAACTAGTTCATGAAGACTTAGGTTGGATGCATAAACACTACTGAAGCAATAAATGATAATGATGCTTTTATAATAGGTACTAGGATATCATCAATTGAGTTATCAACATTCAATACTAACTGAAAAGCTAATTAATTTGATTCAATAATTCCCAACTGCATGAATACAAACTAATTTCAAATCTATACATCTTGATTAGCGTTATCATTTCAATATTCTGTACCGATAATTCCCTTTAATTTTAAAATTATTGGTTTTCCTGAATACATTTGTAAAGAGCTCGTTATGATAGGGTTGCCGCAACAGGGTTGTTTCCTTGATAAATAATAACCACTTATACTCGTATTAGAATGTCTAATAAATTATATGAATTCACTGATTAATTTTCTAGCTATTTAAAAGCTGGAAAATTTGTAATACATTTGGAGACTTCCTCTCACCTCTCGCTTCTCACCTCTCCCAGAGCAAGAGAAATAATGTGATAATTAACCTTCCTCAAAAATACAATTATGTTACTGCTGAGCATAAGCCCTTATTAGTGTTATTTAGTTTCTGGAAGTTTTCGTATAATTTGTAACATGGAAGTATTATAATCATTCTTAAATCTCCTACAGTAATACAGCGCATTGTTACAGGTACTATATTGCTATGTATTTTCTCGATAACATAGAGGCCACACCCAAACGAGCTGAATTTTTTGTTTCATTTTTTGCATTTGATAAAAATAGTTCTATTCTATTCCATCACAAAAATAATCAAATCTGTGAACCGAATTGAATGCAGATTGACATGACGTAGGTACTTGAATTCAGTACAACATGTGACGTGACCTAGTTATAACCGGTATTCAGCACACACTCCATATTTCAATAAATCCAAAATTGGATTTTCAACTTAGTTTGTATATTGGAAAATTGGATCCGTACAGCAAAAGTAACTTGTTAACCCTATGACAATAGAATTGTTCAACATAGAACTGGGAACGGAAAATGTAGTTATTTAAGTATACTGTATTGTAAGTACAGAAACCATTGCAATGCTTACACTGGTTCAAAACTCTAAATACTTTTGCAACGCTTGACTATCCCGGCGGTACGGTTCATATACCAGGGCGGCAAAAAGCGAAGGAGTATATGTATACAGCAGAATGGGATTGTTTGCTTTGCGCCATCATCGCCAGTAATCATAATTGATATCGTATTCAGTATCGTATCACCCAAAATTCAATTAGTTTTTGGAATATTTTAACACTAAATCACTAGTCAATTTAAACCAAATTATAGCGATTAAAGCCCTTTAACTGGTCATACATACAAAACACGTTGGCTATCAAGATCGCTACTCAAAGCAAACTTATCAACCCGTTAATTAAAACGCAAGCAATTTTAGTCCAGTGTGCAAGCAAATGAGTTTCATCGCTTCGTGCAGTTCGCTAAGTTTCCAACGCGCGCAATTAAACTCGACCCCTGTAAATACCACTCTAAACTTGCGGAACAGTCTTCTTTCTTTATTTTTGTTTCCGCAGATACTTGCCAGGGATTGGCTGGAGGACGCAAGACAAAGACCCGGTGCAAAAGGCTGTAACGTCTCTTTGTTCTTGATAAAATAGCTACGTGGTCTCTTCTGTTCGGTTTCGTTTCAGTTTTTTACTTTGATGTGATAATTTAGTACGTATTCTGGCGATGTTACATAGAAAAAGTTTTTGCTAGGTTGTCAATATGGAAAAGTTGTGAGAGATTTAAAAATCTTTTTATTAACTGTCAGTACAACTATGGATTACAATAAGACTGTTTTTGGCTCCAATCCAAACTTGTATTTCTGCTTCGAATTCTGTCTAGGCCCAGATTTTTTTACTATAAGGAAACTAGAAATACTTGCCTAAAACTTTCTTTTCTCGAAAATATGTCACAGACAGTTATATCTTATTGGCGAGAGTACTTGGCATTCTGCCATCAGACAGAGGCTTAGTGAAGCCTGTTGCGAGTCCCGGGAGGGCTTGGGAGGTATCTAATATCAGCTGTCTAGACGAGGGGTATGCAGTCGAGTTGGAGTGGTCGACACTTGAAGCTTTTACGCTTATCGACAATCAAACGGCGGTGGTAAGTGGCTTTAAAGTTTCTGTCCCCGAGGATCGATTTTGCGGTGAAATGGCTTGTAGATAATGTGGCTAGGAATTTGTGAACTAGTTGTTAGGAGATAAAGAAGTGTCAAAGGATGGATGTATTCGCTCATATTTGTTGAAGTAAAACTATGATAGAAAAAAATTGGTGTTAAATTGATATCCATGAGACTAATAGGCCATATTTCCCTAACGATCTATTGCATCTGCATTCTGTCTCTAATGGCCCAACCATTTCATAGAACCAAATAGTTCAACCATAGCCACATATAGCCTTTTGGCACAAAATGGAAATTCAAAGTCTGCGGTGGTTGTGTGATATTCTAATGGCCTACTTGGCTAGTATCCAAGGCATATTGTTTTTATTGTTCTATTAGAAATTAGGAACATTATGGGACAAAAACCTTTTTAGGATGATATAGTATGGACATCTTGTTAACTAGGATGAGTAGATGTCCCGAGGATTTACATGACCTAATTTTTGTTGTTTTACATCAGCAACAACAGATTATACAAATGACTTACTGTTATCATAATAACAGAAAATCAATACTTAAAAAAAGTGTATATTAAAGCATTTACACTCCACAAACTCGATACAAATGGATACTCAAATGGATACTCAATCAAATACTTCTAAAACAAATGACTGTCCCTTTTATCCGCTTGAAAAAAGGACCCGAATGGGCCATCCTACTTGTAGTAAAGTGGAGGACCAGTAGGCACTCATTAGCCCTCGATCCGACCAATTTATCAACACTTATCGAACCTGTAAACGGCGATCAAAGTATTTTAAATTAATCGCGGAATATCTCAAATAAAGTGGTCCGAAGTATCGAATTCTGTTTAATGATCAATCTACTTCGTTAAAAGCTTTCAAAAGTTATTTATAGCTTATTGAAAATGTCAAATTTGTATTTTTAATATTGGAAATAGATTTGCGGTTTATTTTAGGTTTCGTGGTTACAGAAATAGGTTTTCGAATGCATCGTTTTATAGCTTATTCATACTCACCGTCTCGCAAAGCCACTGGAA